ACATGATGACGAGCAAAATCAAATCAGATCTAGGTTAACCAAAAGTCTACAGAACGATCGTCAGCAGTGACCGGGCAACGAAAGCAGAAGAAATAGAAAAGGCATCGACTGTAGGTAACCCAAAACAGCTTTTCAGACTAATAAAAGAAACTGGAATTAAGAATTCATTTGTGAGACGATCTCAGAAAAAGACGACACTTATCTGCTCTCAGCTCAGACGTTAAGAACGATGGGCGAAACACTAAGGAGCATTTCAGCTGACCTTCAGCTACTCTACAACTGTTCACCATTCCAAAACAGCCTGAATAGAACACTGAACTAGGTCTCTCGACTCTAGTTGAAGTTCAAAAAGCTATAGCCAATCTGAACGAGGAAGAGCGTCTGGTTCAGATGCATTGGCTCCAGAGGTCTTTAAGAATACTGGTCCAATTGTAGCGATTAGGTTGACTAATAGTTTAGCTAAAGTATGGAAGTTAGACGTAATCCCATCTGACTGGTCACAATCACTGATTGTCCAAATATATAAGAGAGGGTTAAAATCATCCTGTGATAACTATAGAGAGACTAGTTTAACTAATATAGTATTTAAAATACTAGCCTCAATAATTATCGGGCGCTTAGCAATTACTTGTGAATTGCAAACACGAGAAAATCAGGCTGGTTTCAGGACTGGTCGTGGTTGTATCGACCATATTCACTATTCGTCAGACTCAGTACTGATGTGCATCAACACCTGGACTGATGATAGGGAGTGAAGAAGTCGAACGCGTCGACAACTTCACTTTTCTTGGAAGTCTGATTGGTTCTAATGGGTTGGTGTCTGACGAAGTCTCATCACGGATTCAGAAAGCTCGTTTGGCTTTAGCGAACTTACGTTACATATGATGAAGGCGAGATATTCTTCTATCAATGGAAGGACGAGTATACTACGCGGCAGTTCGTTCTGTTCTGCTTTACGGCCACTATACGTGTCGATTAAGAGTAGAAAATGCTCGTAAACTACTAGTTTTTGACCACAGATGCCTTAGAAATATTGCTGGCATCTGCTGGGATCACCGGATAAGTAATAGTGAGGTTAGACGCAAGGTATTAGGGAATGATGTTAAATCAGTCGATGAGGTTGTGAATCTTCATCGTCTGAGATGGTTGGGCCACGTAATACGTATGCCTGAACACTGATTACCACGACGTGCAATGCTAACCGAAGTTGGAGATGGTTGGAAGAAAGTTAGGGGCGGCCAAACCAAAACGTGGCATCAGTGTTTGAAGTCACTAACTTCTAGTCTGAGCCATGTTGGTAGATGCAGACTACTTGGTTAGGGTCCGCGTGACTATCGTAATCAATGGCTGGACACTGGGTGTATACACTCTTTGTTTTCCCTTTTTCCTTGAGATTAAAATTGCCTTATATCTTTCTACGAACTAATCCTTTCTTCCCGTATCATATCCCGATATGCGATCTTTCTTTTATATATTGCTACCATGGAATTGATTACTTCTATGAATTTGGTGTTCATTTTGTCGTGTTAACGAGGTATGACAACTTGGACCGGTGCATATATGTGCCTGGTCCTACGTTGTAGTCAGTCAGTAACAACGTAGAACTTCGTACGTACGTACATCAGTTCAAGTTGCCATGCAATCCGCACTTAATCAGTTGGCAATCAGTGTCCGTAGGTATGGTATGTGCTTTGCACCTTCGAAGTGCAAAGTACTTCTACAAGACTGGCAGGATTCTAATCCTGTACTCACCCTGGATAGTGAGCAGATAGACGTAGTTGAGAAGTTCGTGTATCTAGGTAGCTGCATAAGTGCTGGTGGAGGTGTGAGTGATGAGATCAATGCACGATTAGTGAAAAGCCCCCAAATGCCCTGGTACGGCCGAGAGTTTGGTGGGCCCGACTTACCTCTCGAAATGCTTTCACACGGCCACGCGTATACAGCATCTGCCAGGGAAGTCCTACTCACTGCCTTCTCGTGACGAGGGTGTTGTTTACGAAAGTGAGAGGATGAAAAGCGAATGTCCGGCGCTTTAGCCGGATCCCAAACTAATGGTGCACATGGGCTCCAGCATCCTGAGTGAACAAATGGCGTATGAACCAATTGTTGGTCACCGGCTACTAGGAGACTGCATCTCCTCACGATGCTCCATTGCCTTGTGGGTTAGACATTTAGGTCGAAGGCTCGGGGTGTGGCCCCCTAAGAAAACCACCTGCTTCGGTCAGGGAACCCGAGCAGTATCACAGCCCTCACACATATCGAATGAGATTTTTGTGGCGCATATGTATTTGGTGCCTCTTTGTACCAATATCTATGTGTTGAAATAAAAAATAAAAATATCTCGCTGATGATACTTTCAAGATAAGTGAAGCGGTCGACACGCTCAATTACTTCACTCCCTATCATTAGTACAGGTGTCGATGCAACCCAATCCTGTAGCAACATTTTGCATTTTGAGGGGGAGAATCGGATTCTGAACATGCTTGCATTGTTGCTTAGAGTGGTCATAAGACTGCATTTTGTCAGCGCCTTCACCAAATAGAACTATGTCATCGGCACATTCCAAGTCAACAAGTGGATCTCCTGGTAGAAGTTCAACCCCTGGAAATGTAGACGAGGAAAGTGTTATCTCTAAAAATACGTTTACGACAAAGTTGAACAAGAATGGAAAGAGTGGGCAGCCCTGACGAATACCACTTGAGGTAATCAATTCTGATGACAGTTCGCCAAAATCTCTCACTCTGCCAGTTGTGTTCGAGTAGAGAGCCTTTACAAGGTTAATGTACTTCTTCGGTACTCCTTTCAATGACAAACACTGCCATAGAACCTCACGATCAACAGAGTCGAATGCTGCCTTAAGGTCGAGAAATACTTCGATGGTGGGGCGTTTGAACGAATGTCTGTTCTAGAACCTGACGTAGTGTGAATATCTGGTCTATACAACCACGTCCAGGTCGAAAACCAGCCTGATTTTCTCTAGTCTGTTCTTCACGAGCTTTGGTTAGGCGTCGAAGTATTATTGAAGCTAATATTTTAGACACTATATTAGTCAAACTGATTCCTCTGTGATTGTCACAAGAGGACTTTTGTCCTTTCTTAAAAACCGGCACAATCAGTGATTGAGACCAGTCAGATGGGATTACGTCCAGTTCCCAAATTCTACTTAAGGCCTCAGTTAATCTTACTGCTAATACTGAACGGCCATCCCTAAAAATCTCAGGAGTGAACCTGTCAGGGCCTGCTGCTCTCCCTCGCTTCAGATTTCCTATGGCTTTTTCAACTTCATAAGGAGTCGGAGGACCTAAATTAACTTGCCATTCAGGTTGACTGGAGATCGTGGGAAACCGAAGTGTGGCTGAAGGCCAGTTGAACTGATCCCTAAAGTGTTCTGCCCATCGATCCAGTCTACTAGATTGAGAATGTATAATATGTCCATCTTCTCTGAGATTGCTTCGCTAACGGTCGGATTCCTAATACCGGTTTCCCTAACGAGTCTGAACAATTGTCTGCTATTACCTATTGCCGCTGCCTTTTCCATCTCTCTTGCTTTCGCTACCCACCACTGTTCGCGATCATTGCGTAGACTTCTTGTCAGCTTGCGCTTAAGCTGACTCCGCTCTTCGTAATGTTCGGAGCCTGTTGGAATGAGTTTCCGAGCATCTATCAATGCGGTAGATGCTGCTGAGATAGCGTTTCTCCCTAACCTTATGGTTTACCTTACTAGCAGATATCACTGCTGTTTCCACAGCTTTTCGGACATCATTCCATGCTGCCTCGGGGTGGGCATCACCTACATGGCTGCCTAACTGTTTTCCTAGTTGTTCCTGAAATATACTCTTAGTTTGACTATCATTAAGTAGGGCCCTAAGAGGTTTACTTGCAGCGTCTTTCCTACGTCCAGTAAAATACAGACAGATACGCGCTCGCACTAGAGCATGATCTGAATCTAAGCATGTGCTCCAGAATGAGCGACAGTCTTCTATCGAGCCCCTCCGTCGGTCGGGCAACGTTGTAGCTGACTGACTGATTGTAGTAAATTCTTAGCGTTGCTATTTTGGTGCGAAGCAATGGTCAGTCAGGTGAGTGACTGGACGCTGGTTGATTAATATGATATACTGATGAGTGCGTTGTTGTTTGTCGATTCTAGTGTCCGACTCTACATTTGGGGTGTGTGTAGGATCTTCAATGTGACCTAAACAAAATGTAAACCCAATATAATTTAGTTGTCGAAGAAACGGTGTTAGAAGGATTTTACATTTTGACATTCAAATGTGCATATCTCAATTTCTTACAGGTGAACAATGTATGACCCGCCGTAAATGTGTGCAGATCTTAGTTTCTCCAGTTCACACGTGCACGACCGGACGAAGTCAGCGATGCAAAACCGAAAAATCAGTTTTACTAATATGGTATCTGAAATGTTCTTTTAGGAATCATGGACGTGTCTAGATAGCACATCTTTAATTTGTCAATAGAAATGATTAAATTTTCGGAGATATCTGATTTTAAGAGGGTTGATAATTTCACACTTTCTTCTCTGCTTTTATACTACTTAAAGCTTCAGTTGGTCAGTTTTCACTCGTCAGCAATAAATACTACCACTCTGTTTTTTCCATCCAGTCCTAGTGTTAGCAAGTAATGGCCAGTTTGAAATTTTCTAGAATAAGTTTCGCAGAATATCGCAGCTACCAAAGTCAGTGTCAGTTAAATTATCACCACAGCCCTTAAAAATCTTGTGAAATTTCGGCACTAAGAACACGATTCAATCGCTAGAGCAGTCTTTCGTAGATAATGAAGCTCGAACACAGTCACCAAATATCCCAGAAATGGTCGAATTTCACAGATATTGCGTGGGATTACTTCCACCTGACCTATTCCATCCTGACTAATATTATGACGTCAAAGGTGCGATAAACCGTTTTGGGGTTTATATTAGGTGGATTAATCTCATATGCCACAGCACAACCAGTACTTGTACAGCTGCTCCAGCACAAGAACTCAACAGTTTACTACAAAAGCCAAGTAAATACTCAGAATTGTTATTTATTTATATAAAACATTACATCCTTGCAAGCCACTACCATTCTTGAAGAACTACTTTGCATTGCGAAGATACTAGGCGTACTTATGAACGCTAATTGCTAATAATGAAATAAGATTATTATTTTATTACTATAAATTGCTAACTGAAGTTCAACCTGGGAGGATTTGTGAGTTTAGTCAGTGCAGATTTACACGACGTGATAAGTTAATAGTTGGTTTTAAAAGTAGCTAGTTTTGACACTTGGGATTTAAGAGACAATATATTTCTTGGCGACCAAAACAATCAGAAGTTTGAAGCATGCCTACAGATGTGCGGAATCTAGGTACTTACCTTAAGTGGAGCGTTAGTCTTTTTTCAGATCTGACAATGAACAAATGGTGATAATATAGTCGATTCCAGTCCATCCTTGCGTTGCAGACGGACTGGGAAAGATGATGCACAGAAGCAGGTTATGCTATGTGAAAAGTTCCGGAAAATGGTCCCATTACTTAGCTTTGGACCAACGAGTCTCCGTTGGACACAGAAACGTTCTTGTTTGTTTCTAAACGCATTTCTCACAACAATGTCGAACGCGCTTTTGTGGAAATTCATTTTTATAACACCTGAACTAGTATCCATCGAATTATAGGCGAAGACTATAAAGTCACATGGTGGTACGTTTGTACGCTTTACTAATGAATCGCTACGTCGACTTCAGTATCGTGAAGGAATCCGTTCTTTCCACTTCTTCCTATCCCCTAGCCAGAGTAAAAACACCGGCTTTACAAATGATGCTTTTTGATTTTGACCCAATATGAGTGAGCAAAATACATTAAGTTTGTCGATTCATATTGTCAATAAAAAAATAAATAGGATATTCGAACTGAGTATATGTTCAGATTCCACATCCTCAACACTTCGTTCCCCATGTTAGTTTCCAATCTCTTTAATGTAATCTTCTAACCTAAAAAACGAAAGAAATTATTGTTGTCTTTGCTCAAGCTCTTAGTGTCACACCGAACCTGTCCAGGGCGCCGACTCTACGGAGTTTCTCGATAAAGCATACGTTAAGCGTTTTCAATCGAGCGCATTCGTAATACTCCACTAGAACCTTGAATATTAGTCTCAGTTACACAGCATACGTCAATGTTGGGGGTTCAGTGACAATTAAAGCTGTCAGTTGTTCGATCTGCACCAGTCAGTGAGTGCTGACGGTAACGAGCTAAAATAGCACACATGGTTTCCTAGTTGTGTCAGGTTTGTTTAGCGACAGCGCATAACTTTTAACAGTAATTAGGTTAAAGATTCAGATTATTATAAGAAAACGTACAATAAAAAAAGTAGGACATCAAAGTGAAATGAAACAAATTTGTTTTCATATCTTTCGAACACAACCGTCTAATATAATTGAATCATGGTGATTTCTGAAGCCTCATGGATATACAGATCCCAACAGGTGACTTTCTCAAAGAACCTTTGCTCATGGCCTTCGATTTAAGCCATTGAAGCACGTCAAATGTTGCCTGGCGGTAGTTGGTTCTTTACTGCAACGTTGTAGTTTAATTATTTGAAAGTGTGCACGTATTTGAATTTCACACTTTTTTTTCAAGAAGTGCACATTTTAATCGTCATGTAGACTGTATCCCACCACTTATGTCAGGGAAATGTATCTATACTTCCACTTTCTGTTCGTTCCATTTGTGCACTAAAACAGAATTGATATTTAGTTTGTTTATCTAAACTTTATTTCAAAACGCAAATATATTTTGTCAAAATAAACTTACATACGTCATGACTTTTACTCAGGTGTCATCATGGAACAATGTGTAGCTGATTGTCTTAAGAGTGATGACTGTGTGATGATTGTATGGTCGGGCGAAGTTCAAGAAGACGTTATGCGTGGTCTACAAGTGGCTGTTTCTACATATGTTAAGAAGCTGCAGTTCGAAAACCTGGAGAAATTCATGGACATTTCAACTGTAGATAGTCAGTTTCACGATTTTTCTGTCATACTTTGTGGTTGGCCTAACTCGATAGGCGTAAACATACTCAAACTTGGCTTGCTATCAAACCTTTTATCCTGTTTGCGACCTGGTGGGCGATTTTTTGGTCGTGACCTAGTTACGGGTGACTGGGATTCTTTGAAAAAGAACCTAACTCTTTCTGGGTACATAAATCCTTACCAGGTATGATTTTTATAGTATGCAAAGTAATAGCTACAGAATTATGTGTTATAGCCTTTTTTTATTTTACAAAATCGTACATTTTCAGTTTTTGTTTCAAGTAAAGCAGCAGTAAATCAAGCCTATTTTTTACGTCGTAAATATTTTCACGCATATGTGTATCTCATTTAGTGTATCATAAGTGATTATTGAAGTCGAATAGTAAATGAAGATTAGATGGTGGTTGGAGGTAGTCAACAGGAAACCCTGGACCCGGGTTTCGTGCTACTTGGCACTCGTCAGCAAGGTGTACCTGTAATCTTGAGGGAACTGGTGCTCCCTGGCGGACTCGATCTCGTGTCACCCAGCTTCACAGTCAGAGACGTTACCACTGAGCTATCCGAGCCGTGACTAACCTCCTGTAGGACTGAGATGTAATCACAATTGATTGATCACTGGGTGGTGATCAATCTCATGCTTGTCTAGTCCTTATTAGTGCAGATCGAATGCTATCGATCATGTTGCAATGGTAACGTCTCTGACTGTGAAGCTGGGTGACACGAGATCGAGTCCGCCAGGGAGCACCAGTTCCCTCAAGATTACAGGTACACCTTGCTGACGAGTGCCAAGTAGCACGAAACCCGGGTCCAGGATTTCCTGTTGACTACCTCCAACCACCATCTAATCTCAATACATAGTGCCCGCAGTGTCGAGTCACCTAGACTGGTGGCCACATTGCAACATGATCGATAGCATTCGATCTGCACTAATAAGGACTAGACAAGCATGAGATTGATCACCACCCAGTGATCAATCAATTGTGATTACATCTCAGTCCTACAGGAGGTTAGTCACGGCTCGGATAGCTCAGTGGTAACGTCTCTGACTGTGAAGCTGGGTGACACGAGATCGAATCCGCCAGGGAGCACCAGTTCCCTCAAGATTACAGGTACACCTTGCTGACGAGTGCCAAGTAGCACGAAACCCGGGTCCAGGGTTTCCTGTTGACTACCTCCAACCACCATCTAATCTCAATACATAGTGCCCGCAGTGTCGAGTCACCTAGACTGGTGGCCACATTGCAACATGATCGATAGCATTCGATCTGCACTAATTAGGACTAGACAAGCATGAGATTGATCACCACCCAGTGATCAATCAATTGTGAGTAAATAAAGAATTGTAGTAACCAGTAGCTCCATATAAGTGTTATGTCCCGATAAGCATAATGAATGGTAACTTTTGTGATCCATTTATGGACCAATACTATGCGCATATTTTTATCGTATAATTGTTAATTAGCTAAACTATACATATTCATGTCCCTCTTATTACGAGCTTTATTTTGACCTATGAACTATTGTTATACGATTTACCATTCTTGAATTATGCCCTGTCAATTAATTACTACCTCTCACATTCACAGATATATTTGGCCAAATCTTGTATAAATGTTGTTTCCTATTTTATTGGTACGATGTGGTCTATCTGGTTGGTATATACACCGAGTATGCTTGAAATAAGTGATTCATATCGCGGAGGTTGACATTGATGTTCTGGACTGAACTGGCTGGGCTAGGCAGGGAGTAGGGCCGATAAGTACTCCAGAGCCCCGAAATGCCGTAGTATGGCCGAGAGTATGGTGGGCCCGACTTACCTCTCGAAATGCTTTCACACGGCCACGCGTATACAGCATCTGCCAGGGAAGTCCTACTCACTGCCTTCTCGTGACGAGGGTGTTGTGTACGAAAGTGAGAGGATGAAAAGCGAATGTCCGGCGCTTTAGCCGGATCCCAAACTAATGGTGCACATGGGCTCCAGCATCCTGAGTGAACAAATGGCGTATGAACCAATTGTTGGTCACCGGCTACTAGGAGACTGCATCTCCTCACGATGCTCCATTGCCTTGTGGGTTAGACATTTAGGTCGAAGGCTCGGGGTGTGGCCCCCTAAGAAAACCACCTGCTTCGGTCAGGGAACCCGAGCAGTATCACAACCCACACACAAATAAAATGAAATTGACGATATTTGCTGAAAATTGTATTCGCGCTTTGATTAATAACCAAACAATTCACATTATTATTTACTACGTCATTTATTCACTCTCTTTTATTCCCGCCTTATGTATCCTTATTTTTCGACTTATACAGCAGCTCGCTTATGGTGGAAACTCGGTTCTATCTAAACGTTCCCGAGTTACTGCCTGGTTGAAAATTGTATGCTATCACCGAATATGAGTACTGAAGCAGTTTTTATGAAACCACTTGCACCATTCAAACTGGCTGCCTTCAACGTTCACACATATGCAAGTCGAACAACAGATAGGGCTGGCTATTTCTTTTGAAAGTCTTAATATCGACGTTTGTTGTTTATCCGAGACTCGTATTCGAGACTCTGGTGAAGTACTACGCTTCAAAAAGCTTGTTTTACGTGCGTTCATCCAGGGGCCCTGTGGCATCTTAGTCTGGTCTTGCTGGCGTTGGTGTCGCACTAAGCGCTAGAGCTGAGGCAGCACTAACCGACTGGATCCCCGTTAACAGTCGGTTATGTGCTGTCAGATTAGAAAGTTCCATCAAAGTGAGAAGAAATCGGCGTGAGAAACGACGTCTTTTCGTCATCTCCGCCTATGCCCCGACAGATTGCAGCCCGGATGCAATCAAGGATGAATTCTACCACCAGTTGTTAACTGTTCTCCAGAAAGTGCGTTCGACAGATATTGTAGTACTAGCCGGAGACTTGAATGCTCAGGTCGGGCATCTAGGCACAGAAGAGAGTCGTTTAGGTGGCCGATGGGGACTTGTTGGTCGCAGGACCGATAACGGGGACCGTCTACTGCAACTGTGCACAGATCACAACCTGTTTCTGGCTAGCACTAACTTCCGGCGCAGTCATCGCCGACATGCCACCTGGCGTCCTCCCTCTGTATCTCAAGCCTGGGCTCAGATTGATCACATCGCGATCAGCTACTGCTGGCGTGGTTGTGTACAAGACTGCCGCTCGTTTTGGAGTACCTATCTGGACTCTGACCATGCCTTGGTCTGCGCCAATCTTGCCTTACTTTTCAGTGGACAACGAAGTGACCGCCATCAACGGATTGATATTAGCAAGCTGGTCGCAACTTCTGTTGCAAGTAAGTATCGAACTGAGCTAGCCTCTAGGCTAGCTACCACTCCACCGAAAAGTATAGATGAGCATTGGTTGCAATTGCATGACTCCATGAAAATGGCGGGAACAGTCAGTTGTGGGTTCGCGAAACGTCCCGCTTATAAGCACTGGGTTTCTTCAGGCTCCTTACAACTCACTGAAGCCCGTCGGTCTACTCCGGGTGACCGCGAGTTTGACCACAAACGAAGGATGTTACGTAAGGAAATTGGGCAAAGCTTGCGTAAGGACCGAGAAGCCTGGTGGTCGAAGCGTGCTAATGAGCTGGAAGCAGCAGCTGCATCTGGTAACTTCCGGAAGCTCTTTCAACTCGTCCGAGCCACTGGCAGCAAGAAGTCTGGTGTGAGTGAAACAATCTGTGAGGATGAATGGATGCCAATCACTGACATCCAACGACGTCTTGGACGATGGGCAGAATTTTTCGAAGTGCAGTTCAACTGGCCTGCTGCTCCGGCAACATCGGTCAGACTGTCCTTCCCTCCATGGCCGGTGACGACTGATCCACCAAACGAGGAGGAAGTCCGCAAGGAACTCCAACTCTTGAAGCGTTACAAATCACCTGGCCCAGATGACTTACCTCCGGCTCTTTAAAGATGGTGGTGACTTTTTGACTAAGGAATTGACGACGTTGTTTACAAAGGTTTGAGAACTAGAGAGCTTACCAGCGTTATGGAATGAGTCGATAGTTGTCCCTATCTTTAAAAAGGGTTCACGTCGTTCCTGTAACAACTATTGGGGGATAAGTCTACTTCCGATTGCGTCCAAGCTATTGGCTTCCGTCATACTTCGTAGGTTGTTCAAAACCCGAGAAAGATTGACTCGAGAGGAGCAGGCGGGGTTTCGTTCTGGTCGAGGATGTATTGATCATATCTTCACCCTCCGCCAAATGTTAGAACACCGCCATACTTTTCAAAGGCCAACGTTCTAGAAAAAACTGTAATGGATGTAAGTAGTGGCGGTGTGAATCTGTTGCCTGGAGAAAGACCTCTCGACCTTGAGTATGCGGATGATATTGTCTTACTGTGCGATAATGCCCAAGCCATGCAATCCGCACTTAACCAGTTGGCAATCAGTTTCCGTAGGTACGGTATGTGCTTTGCACTTTCGAAGTGCAAAGTACTTCCACAAGACTGGCAGGATTCTAATCCTGTACTCACCCTGGAAGGTGAGCAGATAGACGTAGTCGAGAAGTTCGTGTATCTGGGTAGCTGCATAAGTGCTGGTGGTAGCGTGAGTGCTGAGATCAATGCACGAATAGTGAAAGCCAGAGCAGCTTATGCCAATCTGGGCCACCTTTGGCGCCTTCGTGATATCAGTCTGACTGTAAAAGGTCGAATCTACAACGTGTCAGTGAGAGCAGTTCTGCTTTATGCTTGTGAAACCTGGCCTCTCCAAGTTGAGGATGTTAGACGACTCTCTGTGTCCGATCATCGCTGTCTCCGAAGGATTGCTGACATCCAGTAGCAACACCATGTCAGTAATGCAGAGGTTCGGCATCGTGTGTTCGGGCACAGAGATGATAATTCAATTGGTGTCACCATCTTGAAACACCGACTTCGGTGGCTTGGACATGTTCTCCGAATGTCGTTCCAGAGAGTTCCACGTCGTGCATTATTTGTCGACTCTGGGACTGGTTGGAAAAAGCAGAGAGGTGGTCAGTGCATGACATGGTGTCGGGGTATGAAAGATAGCTGCGAAGAGCTGGCTTCTGTTGGTCCTTCACGACTCCCTGGCTGGGGTCCGAGAGATGGTGCAACACAGTGGCTAGAGACGTTATCAGATACGGCTCACAATAGAAGCCAGTGGTGATCCTGCTGTAACGTTTTTTTACTTTCTTCATAAAAATGCGGTTATATCTTCCTTAACTGAAAGATTTCTTCTGGTTGTACGTTTTCGTCTCCTCCATTATTATTATGATTATTACACTACCTTACAATAGTCTGGTCGTTATTGTTCTTTGTTTTTACGCTCCTTACCTCCCTTTTTTCTCTTCCCATTCTCACTGTTTTTTGTGGCGCATATATATTTGGTGCCCTCTTGTACCAATGTTTAGCTGTTCAAATAAAATAAAATAAGTACTCTAGACTGCTCGCACCGGGTTTTACGTGTCATTGGTCCGATCGATAATTCACTACTCTCCAATTGGCGGTATCATTACGTTATACATTAACAGGGCACACAGGCTACAAGTTATAACAATAAGTTTATAATTTTTTCTGTTCGGGTTAAATTTTGCTCGCATTGTTCAGAAGACTGTATTTGTAGATATTATAAATGGCTGGTTTTTCACCATTCGACTTCGATTTGATTACAAAATCCTCAAAGAGAAACGTCTGTGAAACGTGAGATATTTCATGCAATTAGTTCCCTTTATGAATTTAAATGGAGCCAGAACAAATATAGATGCAGAATACTATGAATTCATTGTTTGTCGTGGTTATCAATAATGACTATATATATATATATATATATATATATATATATATATATATGAAAATTTTCAGCTCTTACCACTGTAAACCATTTGTACCTTTTGGTCTGAATATAATTTACTACTTGGCTTATCCTTATTTGTAACCTAAATTCATCTATAAATGTCATTCTATTTGAAAGTTTATTCTTTCCCACAGTTTCCAGTTATGCCCATTCTTTGCGATGTTATAGTTGCAGTCAGTTGATTATATACATAGACCAGGAGGTATCCTTGTATATCCTAATTATTTGTTTTTATCAACTATGCACATCGTAGACATTGATGTGTTCTTTACATCTATTTCTAAACAAATAACTCATACTAAATTTGTGGCACTAAAGTAATGTTATTGTTCAGGTGGCCAGTTTACTTGTTGCTGATAAAAAATGCATTTGTTGTGTTAGCGGGACATGTTCCTTGCATGACTGTTTTGGTGCACGCTGATTGGCTCTTTCTTATCCAATCAACACTAGCAGATACTTGGAAAAGACTTGAATCTTCTCATGTAGAAAGTAAATGTATTAACTTTTTTTTATTACTTCCTACTTCCATCTACCCTTGTTATTTGGAATATAATTTTGTTCCTGTTCAACCGTGTTCTGATCTGGGGACTTGTCGAGTGAATTGGTTTTCAAACATACTGAGCAATAAGAGAAATTATAACAACGTGACTGTAATGAATTCTGTACAAATACTTGGTAGATTTAGAGAATATCAACGGTACTGCTTTTTATTTGTACACAAAGATGTTCAATCTTTTTTCATCTTTTATTCACATTTCAGTTGTCATGTGAAAACCACTTAATATTCAGTGCCTCTGTTCCGTCCAATTATACGCAGGGTTCTAGTGTCAAACTTCCGTGGGCTAACAGTGATGTCGAGGCGGCTTGGGAAAATGTTGATAATACATCTGACGCCAATGGAAACATTATAAATACAAATGCACTTTTACAAAAATCAGATTTGAAAACTCCTTTGGCTGTCTGTGGCAAAGACCCTGCTACTGATTCAGATGGAAAAAAGAAACGGGCTTGTAAAAACTGTACATGTGGCTTGGCTGAAATTGAAGCAGCGGAAGAAGTTAAATCTGACGTCCCAATATCGTCCTGTGGAAATGTAAGTCATGATTATCTGTTTTACTTCCGAGAACACCATAGTAAACAAGTAGTTTATGATGATAGTGTTATAGAAAAATATAATGTTAGACATTTTTTAAGTTACAAACAACACGATACATATTGCCGTACTGAAGTATAGGCTGGGAATACTGCAAACATAAATTGTTCTCGAACTTACCAAAACTTCGTCTTTGACCAATCTTAACTGGATAATGTATTAACCCGTTACATTCGGAAATGGTCCAGTTACACAAACCAGTTTGAGATCAATTTCTCTGTTGTTTTTAAGCTTGGTACTCAGTCGCATGTCCGAAGTATGAAGCACATGGGCTTCAGGTTGCTACTAATTAGCATATTCCAACTTTTGTAGCAAGAAGTACACCCATAACTCGCGTTCTTTCTTATGCGGTCGGAAAGCAATGACAACAGATATTCATAGCCTCATCGTAGAATTTCTTGCTTGCACCTATAATTTCAGTCAGTCAGCCAGCTACAACATAGGATCAGGCACATATATACATCTGTCCAAGTTGCCATACCTCATTAGCACAACACGATGAACACGGGATTCATAAAAGTAGTTAATTCAGAGGTGGTAATATATAAAAGAAAGATTGCAATAAGGACATAGTACAAGAAGAAGAAATTGGTTCGTAGAAAGAAAGATATGAAGCGATTTTAACCTCTTAGTTTAAGGGAAGACAGAGAGTGTATACACCGACGCCATTGTGATCGATTCTGAGCCATGTCAATAAGTCTCCAACCATTCGTTACGAAAGTCGCGCGGACCCCAACCAAGTAGTTTGCATCTACCAACACGGCTCAGACTAGAAGTTAGTGACTTCAAACACTGATGCCACGTTTTGGTTTGGCCACCCCTAACTTTCTTCCAACCATCTCCAACTTCGGTTAGCATTGCACGTCGTGGTAATCAGTGTTCAGGCATACGTATTACGTGGCCCAACCATCTCAGACGATGAAGATTCACAACCTCATCGACTGATTTAACATCATTCCCTAATACCTTGCGTCTAACCTCACTATTACTTATCCGGTGATCCCAGCAGATGCCAGCAATATTTCTAAGGCATCTGTGGTCAAAAACTAGTAGTTTACGAGCATTTCCTACTCTTAATCGACACGTATAGTGGCCGTAAAGCAGAACAGAACGAACTGCCGCGTAGTATACTCGTCCTTCCATTGATAGAAGAATATCTCGCCTTCATCATATGTAACGTAAGTTCGCTAAAGCCAGACGAGCTTTCTGAAGCCGTGATGAGACTTCGTCAGACACCAACCCATTAGAACCAATCAGACTTCCAAGAAAAGTGAAGTTGTCGACGCGTTCGACTTCTTCACTCCCTATCATCAGTTCAGGTGTTGACGCAGACCAGTCCTGAAGCAACAACTTGCATTTAGAGGGAGAGAAGCGCATTCCAAACATTCTGGCATTGTTACTTAGTGCTACCTAAAGACTGCATTTTATCGGCGTCTTCACCAAACAGGACTATATCATCTTCGTATTCTAAGTCGATAAGTGGACCTCCTGGAAGGAGATCAATACCCGAGAATTCAGTCGACGAGAATGTTATTTCCATCAGTAGGTCTATGATGAAGTTAAACAGAAATGGAGAAAGTGGACAGCCTTGACGGGCACCACTTGAGGTTGCAAAAGTAGATGACAGTTCACCGTAATCTCTGACTCGACTGGTAGTGTTCGAGTAAAGAGTCTTCACAAGGTTTATGTACTTCTGGGATACACCTTTCAACGACAGACACTGCCACAGAATCTCTCGGTCATCAGACTCAAATGCTGCTTATAAGTCAAGAACAACTATCATTGTCGGACGCCGATAAGTATGCCTGTGTTCTAGAACCTGACGAATGGTGAATATGTGGTCGATGCAGCCACGACCAGGTCTGAAGCCAGCTTGATTCTCTCGTGTTTGCAGTTCACGAGTCTTAGTTAGGCGTCTGATAATTATTGAGGCCAGTATTTTAGATATTATATTAGTTAAACTAATCCCTCTATGGTTATCACGGGATGATTTTATCCCTCTCTTATATAATGGGACGATAAGTGATTGTGATCAGTCAGATGGAATAACGTCTAACTCCCAGATCTTAGCTAAAATATTGGTCAACCTAATCGCTACAATTGGACCACCATCCTTAAAGACCTCTGGAGCCAGTCCATCTGGACCAGCTGCCCTTCCTCGCTTCAGATAAACTATAGCCTTTTGAACTTCTGCTAGAGTTGGGGGACCTACTTCAATGTTCCATTCACACTGTCTGGGAATGGAGGGTAATTGTAGAGTAGCTGAAGGCCAGCTGAACTGGTGTCTGATGAGTGTCATCTTTTTCCGAACTAGTCTGACTTACACTTGACTTAATAATTCCAGTTTCTTTTATTAGTCTGTAGAGCTGTCTTGTGTTCCCTATAGTCGTCGCCTTTTCCATCTCTTTTGCTTTCGTTGCCCACCACTGCTCACGGTCGTTTCTTAGACTTTTTCTTAACCTAGATCTGATTTGTTGTCGCTCTTCATCATGTTCGGAACCTGATGGGACGAGTTTGCGAGAATCCATCAGTGTGACAGACCTTGAAGAAATCCTCTAGTTCGTTGTAACCCTGTGGTTTAAGTCACTAATAGATTTCATTGCTGTTTCCACAGCTGTTTGTATATCTTTCCAAGCAACATCTGGGTCAGCCTCGTTTGCAGAACTACCTAAGTGTGACCTCAGTTGTTCCTGGAACCTACTTTTGGTTTTCTCGTTACTCAACTCAGTTCTAATGGGTCTTTTTAATGTGGCTTTTTTGCGTCCAGTGAGGCGCAAGTAGATGCGTGCCCGTATTAGGGCGTGGTCGGAGTTCAAGCAGGTACTCCAGAATGAGCGACAATCTTCTACCGACCCTCTCCAACGATGACTGATGGCAATATGGTCTATTTGAGTCCATCGTTGGTTTGGTGTAGGGGGTCGCCATGTTAGACGATGTCTCTCCTTATGCTTAAAATTTGTGTTTGCTAAAAATAAACGATTGTCTCAGCACAGTTGCAGCAGGCGATCATCATTATCTAATCGTTGTGCCCGAATACTAAAATACCCACTTAAATGCCTTTCTGTTTAGTTTAAACTACCTATCTGGGCATTAAAGTCACCTGCCACGTGTACTATGTCTGAACGTTTAGCTTTCTGAAGAAGTTCAGAGAGCTTTCCGTAAAATTCATCTTTCACTTCATCTGAGCTGCAGTCGGTGGGAGCGTAGGCAGAAACGACAAAAAGGCAACGACGTGTGTCCCTATCCTTCCGAGTTCTTACGGAGCCGTTAAGCCGAACAGCACATAGACGACTGTTGACGGGGATCCACTCTAACAGTGCTTGTTCTGCCCTCATGCTTAGTGCTATGCCTACACCTGCCAGTCCACGAGAACTGGCCATCGGGTCACCAGATACACGGAGGGTGTATCTCGTTGACTCTCCGTTTTGCCGAGGTGAGGTCAAGTGAATGACCACACTGGAATCCTGTATGTGTGTTTCGGAGACACAGCATACATCAATGGTACGAGATTCTAGGGTTTTAGCCGAGGAAACCTGCTGACCGATTTGACATAGGGTGCGTACGTTGAAGACTCGAATGTGTAGTTTGTATCAGGGTTTCAGTAGACCTGGAACAGTGTTTTGAGCACTAGAATCGTTGGCTATGGTGACACTGGAGGGGGAAGCCGAAAGAGGAAGTTTAGAGTTAAAAGTCGATGTAGGAGGAATAATAGGAATTGAAGAGGAAGGTTGGTTATGAATACAGTGGTCTTGAGTGCTGTTAGAGATATGAGGGCGGTTATCACTTTCCGGTTGCCCACACCGTGGAAGGGTTCTTCTGGAGGTACCTGAAAAGGAAATCGGATTAGAGATGGTCTTAGTGACCTGGGAGCGTGACCACAGTACCCAAGCGAAAACTGCTTGAGGTCGGTCACACACTACCTTTTTGTGAGTAATCTTTGTGCTAGCTCCGTACTTGTTGAGACCTTACCTCCGGAGACGGATATCCGTGGGACAAGGCGAGGTGTGCATTTTTAGGGTCGACCTTTTCTAACCCCACCCCGCCTTGTGGGAAGGCAGCATCGCTGTCATGCTGGTTGTTTGAAGGAAACACCTTACTGCTGTCACACCTCTGTACAGTCAGCAGTACGACTTCGCCTTCGTACCTTAGGTTTGTTGCTTTTAGTTTTAACTGCTCTTCAACCGACCTGTCTGACATGGTAGGACCTTGAGGAACAGTTGTTCCAGCCAGTATAGCTCGGTTGCTTCATCACGATAGGCAAGCCCGACCACCACGCCAAGGTATCAACAACGGTTGGGTCACCTATAATTTGCGAGTATATATAACCATTTATCACACAAGGTTATTCTGAACAATAGTTTTTTTAGTGCAAACCTTTTATGTAAGTCAAGCTGAATTAATCTAATTGCGCACTTATTTTCATAAATTAAACATGTTATCATCCATATAATAATCGTCTGAAAATCATATTTCACTGCCTAGTTGTGCGCTTATCGAAGAAATTTAAAACATATATAGAGCCCAGTAGTGGATCGCTGGATTGTAGATTCAAGGGTAGCACAAAAGTTTAGATATATACAACACATATTCCCGACTAATTCGATGAACTTAAAAACATTTTCTTCAGGTTTAGTGGATATTATATATTTTGTGTAGTTCATTTATTGGTGCTTGTTTTTGAACTGTATTTATTAGTTTAATTTGTTGTATTATTTTCAACCGTGTTTTAAAATACCTCTTAGTGTTATCTCGGGGATGCTTTCCGATGTTCTACATGCCCTTACCGTGGGCTTCCACCATTTAAGCCTGGCGAAAGAATTCTAATACCGGATGATGTTTTGAAAGCTGATTTGTGACGGACGTATATACACTTTGCAGACTAGTCTATTGTGAATCTCCGTATGTCCTTACTGTTATAACAAACCATACTTCTTGACTTTCTCGATGAATTTTGTTATACTTATCGTCTTCACCAAACATTTCAAATAGTATAACTTCTTACTTGGACTGAGTGTTCATGATATACGTTAGCATGAAATTAGGTACTGATGCTGAGAAATGTGTGGTTGGTATCATAAGTTTAGCCAGCACAGTGGATTCATCACTAGTCATATGTAAAACCTAACTAACAGAGAAATACGTAATATGTGCGCAACTGCATATTAGACCACACTATCTCGTCGTATAAAATAGCAGGTTAACCCATGAGATGAGAAAGGTTTATGTAAGTGCTGGTAAATGCATTCATCCTTGACGCACATAAGTTACGTCGTATGGTCGTTTATTTGCTCTTTATTACGTTTGTACGAGTAAACTTGAGAATGGTAAGCACAATTTTCACATTCGTCAGATCAGTTCAAACATGTTTCTACATATTTTAAAACCTCTTATAATCATCCTAATTTATCCAAAACGATAATAATGCAAATGGTGTACTTTTTGAGATTGATAATTTCTTGTTTGTTCAAGTCGCCGCACGAAGAAAATGTAAAATTGTTATAAGCAAAGGACACGTATTGCCTATTAGAAAACAGTTGGATATTTGCCGTAGGTGTTAATCCCAATGGGAACAAATAGATCTAGTTGCCCCACTTTGTCTACTTCACTAATATTTTTTGCGATGAATGGGTTTGAAACGCACATGTCTAGCGAATGTTATTTAGCACCACCTGGATTATCAGTGATGTATCGTACTAAGAAGAAACATATACGGCATAATGTTTACGTGAATGTAATCAGTAAACAAAAATGATATGGTGAATTTGGAATTAAGATTAATAACACTAAAAATACGAAAGTTTAATATCAAGAACCGTTAGTAGTGGAATACATAGAAAATAATTTATCCAAAGAAACTGAAAATACAAATTCTATATTATATATAATCCTCATTGTCGGATTCCGAGTTTGTTTGTGGTACTGATTTGTGTTCGACAAGGGTATCTTTATCAAGAGACGGTTCATGATCACCGGGTGATTCAGGAGATCGCTCGCTCTGATCATACTGCATAGCAAATTCAGTGTAAAATTCATTGAAATCGAGTCTGTACAAGAAGGAGAAATGTATCACTGTCAGACCAGAAAATAAATTATAATAGGTTATTAGATAATGTTAGACATTTAAAATCACAAAACAAATAAAAATTCTTTGATATGTGCAACTATATCGATGTATATACGTAATCACTAACAGTCAAGCAACAGAGATATACTAACCAATATAAAAGTCATCAAATGGAGAAAATTGATGAATACCCTTAGAACGTTTTGCAAGTTTACATGAGTACTTATGATGTGTTTGGAATTTCCATGTATAAAGGTTTACGTTTCACTACTACCAACACGTTGTTTGGGGGGTTTTACTACCGCATACGAATAAAACATCAAGTGCGATTTTTGGTGTTAGCAGGATAAAGTTCTGACTGTTACATTCGTCAAGCTCTATTCGGAATACGACAGATTTATTTCCAAACAATTATTGCTGCCAAACGAATCAAGGAGATGCTAAAAGATCCCTATGCGAATCCTATATAAACTAGTGTTTTTACTACTGTGTTTGTTATTCGAATTTATTGGAATTTACACTGCTCTCTTGTAATTCTTAAGTTGGTCAGAGAAGATCCGAATACACTAGTTTTCAAGGGATACTATGTAGTGAAAGAACATAAAATATGCAATTGCAGAAAACGAAAATCAGAGTAGTAATATATAAGAATCAACTAACCTTGATACTAGACTTAACAGTTTACTGTGATGCTTAGCATATTGTTTGATCTTTTCAAGCAGTTCAACTAACATTCTGTTGAAATTTGTATCAAAGTTTGTAACCGTTTTAGCCATATCATCTGACAAACTCATTCTACCAAACTCTTCTCTAGTAACCTAAAATTATAGGGGAATGAAATTACTATGTACTTACTGATGGACATTGTGTCAGTGAATATTATGCAGCAAAAGCACTCGTTGCAATCAGAATATTTTCCAAATTTACAGTTTCCAGTCATGATGTTGAATGTACATAAATTTCGCTGTTTTAAATTGAACATTTATGTATTAAAATTATGCAGAATAAAGCAATTTTAGTGTGAATTACAACTCGCATTTGCCTATATACTAAGAATGATACTATTACTTGAAGTTTAAGAAGTGTTACGATTTAAGTAATCTTGTCTGGATTTGAAACCATTCATTAAGACAACAGTAGTTCATTATTGCCATATATTCAGATAACTATGTATTACACATGAATGTGAATAGTTCCAAAAACATGCGTGGCGACTTGTAAATATGCACATAATTTCAATGTTCTGCGATAATATATCTATTTGTCTAAAAGTTTTGTACAAGTAAAGCAGAAAATAAATGCCAAAGCAAACACATATAGTTCAACATACATAAACCGAATATGCTTTGAACATGACAAAGCAGCTGCTTCAATGGTGTCAGAACTTTCAAGAAATATGTAAATATATGAAGAATATCACACTCGAATTGATGTTTGCAACTACTTGGATGATCTATAAAAAGGACTGATTACTTCATTTCTGTCTTGCAACAATAAAACACGAAAATTGTCAGGTAATGAAAGATCAATCGACTACTTACCTTTGTCATCATAGATTCTACTGAACTAGTGGTAGATTCACGAGGTGCATATTTTAAATCATTCTTTGTTCGACCTAAATTTGATGACGGTGTTGGATCGTGTAGGAAAGGCCTTTCCATATCATTACTATGCCGCGATAAATAAACAATACATTGATCATTATCTCCAGATGATGATAAATTGACTCCTGTTATAGAGAACGCCAAGTGTTGGATAAAATTAGCAAACGTTACACAGGCTACAGATAATTTTCCAACTAAACTTAATAGATCAGGACTAGCTAGTAAACAATCATCCATACATACTTCCAAAAAATGTAGATGTGAGTCTAAAAGTAAGTCCAAATTAGATACCTACCGAAGAATGAACAAATTAGAAATTCATTATGGTAAATAATACAATAAAAATGTAAGCAGGACGTGATTTAGGTTACAGACAAGTGTCAAATTAACTAAAGTTTAAACTGAGAAATACCACCAACTAGGTAGCAACGTTTTGCAGAAAATTTATGAATCAAGTCTGAAAAAATTGTGAACAAGTAATACAGATTAAAGGGTGTTGCTATATTTCCTGTCTGACTAGTTTGATTGCTCCATTACCCTCAACAAAACACTTTTTTGATACAAGTCTTGTTTTCGTGGCTAGCTTTAACAAAATCTTTATTCAGTGAGAAAAATCCAATGGAATCGTTAAAATGAATTAACGTTCACATTTATGGTAAACAAAATTTTTCGATTATCACAATTTTTTATGATTCAACAGTTAAGCTGCCTTCATTGTATGCCCAGGTTAATATTTTGTGATTTGTAAGTAGTGTGTTTTACATTTATCTCTTGTTGAATATAGCTATGTTAATTTCCTTTGTGCGTGCTTAACGACTTGGATACGTGGAAATGATGTATGTGTATATATAACAATAAAGGAATTGGCAACAACATACTTTGTCAACGCGTTTGAAAAAATTGTGCCATGCTGGTTCAATGATCTCAACAGACATGTAATATTGGAAATGTTGAATAAAAATAAGCATTCGTTGGGCCAATAGGAAAGCGGTTGTAAACCAGGTAGTCATAAGGTTATCACATTTACGAGCAAGTTTGCCTAGAATCCATGAGCTGAAATGATAGTGAAAAGGTTAGACGATAGTTTACAGTAACTTATTTCAAGATTATGCTTTGAATCAATATATACCAAAGGCTTAATGCCCCAGCAACATTTAATTAGAAATGAATATTCATGACAAAAACAGCTTTCTAACTGATATAACGGATGGTCCAAAATATTTTCCTCACAGCGTATGCTGCACAAATACGTTGATACGATAATGAGACTGGTCAAGTTATATCGTATACAAGATTCACAACCCAGAATAGAGAACCAGATTAACACTAAATGATATTTTATTCAACAATTACAAATAGATACACTCAGTGAGTCCCGAGTCTAAACCAATAATAGGAAAGAAAAACACATATTTAGTAGTTAGTAGGAGAATTGCCTGTTTGTCCAAACTAAATGACCAATCACATTTTCTCCTCACTAACACATATCACTAAACTATTCACAATTCGTACAAATGTGAATTAAACCAAGATTTTGCAGCTATCCATGGATGACAACTTTTAAACATCCCAGACTTTATTGTAGAAATCAGTTTGATTATTAAAACGCCTACGCGAGGGAAATGGTCCATTTTTGATTTCGCTGAGTTTGACAAATACCTGGGCAATATCAGTGATATCCGATACACTCACAAGTTATAATTACAGTTGGGCGGTAGCTTATGCACTTGACTTTCCAGTTCAGCGATCCAAGCGACGTAGTTAGCCTTCACACGGTAATGTGGATTAAAGCGGTGTACACAAACCGGTATTTGGTTGCTGGTTTCTAAATGTGTCTAAAACTCACGGTCATAATTTTATAGTTCAGAGATTAGTGGAATTTTCCGCGGTAAGCATGTATTCCTAATTCGGCTTAAATAATTTTTTTACAGGTGGTAAACAAAATGAAAGAAAAGGTGCTAACATAGTATTTCTTACTTGCATAGTAATCTCTCAACATGTTTGCAGTATAAAAGATGACGGAAAAGCATTTGATAGCGATCCATTACTTGACGATTGAGCACTAAATCAATAGGCCAGCCAACTCTATAATCCAAACAGAAAGCCTCTAGTCCTGAAAGATTTTTATCCTCGATCGGTAAGACGTCTAAGTCACAAATAAATAACATTAAAAAAGTGAGTTTATTACGAATATTATTAATTCACTTTAAAAATACTGACTCTGAGTTATCTGTTGTCACACAGAAGAGGCGGTGAACAATATGTAGCGAGACGATACCTAAAATTTTAAACGTCCTGCTATACTCTATATGATCATACTGATCTCTGAGAGAACATAATAATTGCATTTGAATTGTCAGCAATCTCAAAATTGGTCTACCACAACTGATTTTGATGGAGTAAATAACAATTTTAAATTGAAGTTAACATTGGAAGACAACTGATGGTAGTTTGAAGTTCGAACACTGTCCTTTTCGCACTATTCAATTAATTGAGAAATTTGTTTAAAACATGTGACAATCTGTGTTCCTGAATATTGTTAGGAACCCACAAATGTCCCGATAGTAAGGGCATCACCAGATTAACAATAATAAAGTAAATTATGATTTGTGAGTTGCACAGGCTTCAAAGTTCATATACATTACGGGAGATCAACAGCGAATAGCTTTTGAAGGATTTACGTTAAAAATATATACTTTGCTTGTAATGAAATAGTTTTCATCATTTGCGATTAAGCTTCTACATTGATTACTTGAGTGAAAACAAATTACTCCAAACTACCTAGAGGTTACTCTTTAAACAATTTTGAAATGGTTTGTTAGACAATATTGTTGTTAGTGTGTCATTAGCTAAAGAATTGTTTATACACATACGAAGCCAATAACCAGAGAAAAACTAATGCAACAAGTCACTGGGTAAGAGACATTAATTAATTCCGCAAAAAAAGCAGTGGGGTTAGACCTAATGTTAAAAATAACAAGCTAACGTATGCTATTTTATATACACTGAATGCATTTTTAATGTTGGTTTATTTGCAGACATCCACTTAAATGGCTAGATAGGATACGGTTGAACTTGAAAATATAGTCAATTTAAATTCTTGGTACACCATAATTTCAAAATAAATCAGAAGGGATATGTTAGGTGTGCTCAGCTAACTAATCAGGGTTAAAATATACACTCGTAAAAGAAATGTGGTATTCACTACCATCTTAAATGATAATGATTCCTATTAGTGTGTTGTTGATAAATTGGAGCTACCAAGCATAGTAAATTTTTATTGCACGACCATTCGTCGGTGTAAAAGCTATAAAAGGTGAAAAACCACCCATATAAATGGAAAAATTAAGTAATAGAATCCTGTAATTATTTTCCGGATAGTTAAATAACCGAAACTATTATATTGTAGGGTAATAGAAAAAAATAACGAAATGATAGGGTGTGAAAACTTAGATTACCCGGTTCGTCTTCTGATCCAGCTCGTAGAACCATTAAAATTTGAGAGATTAAATCAAATTGAAATATCACAACGCTAAATGACAAATAAACAGAGAAAGTAATAAACGTATTTTGAAAATCATGAAACAGCACAAGTTTGGTTTATTAAAGCTGATTAGATAGTAAAACTAAACTATCATTTAAATACAATATAGCAATAAATAACAACGATTTTTCGATGTAAAACATTTTCAGTAGCGAATTTTACTTACGATAAATTATCTTTGAATGGATCACTATTAGCAGTGCTAGTACGAAGTGCCAATTCCAATAAAGAATTTAAACGTAGTTGAGAAATAACTGGGAAAAAAAGATAAATACATGAAAGGTATATGACAAAAACTCGCTCTTTTCCAATTATAAAAGACGTCGATATCATGTCTCAGCTAGCATTATCCCAAGCACAAGCACATTAAAACAATACAATTTGTTCAAACAACTTTGAAATGTACATCTCAATAGTATGCAATAGTATTTGAACACAATACGCAAATAATTATGATTAACACATTTGTGAATAATAATATTAATATTTATTTTTACTTTCGCTATTTTTACGTAATTCTGCTGCAGCGGCATCCATAAAATGAACAATAAAATCACCTTGATCCAACAGAAAGAAACGCTTAACAGATCTGCAATACAAATAAATATGAAGTTATTTTAAAGAAGGTATTTGTCGTTTTACTTACTATAATGCATTTACATTTGTAGCAGCAAGCTAACAGTTTTAAACATTAATAAATTTTTATTTGTTAGGATGAAAGCATTCATGAAAATAGTAGAGGATTATTCAATCTGATTTGGAATAAGGGTATGCAGGTATAGAAACATATATAATCACAAGGAATCAGTCAAATACTACTATTAAGAGCGGCTCTCTACATATAGGGGTTACGGAAATTTCTAAAGAAAGTAGGTTTTTTTCAATAACAACTAATTCTTCAAGCGTTATTCACTAAAATAACAATTCGCAGTACACAGGTGGAAGTATTTTTATTTAATATTCTAAAAATGTAACTAAGGAATTAGTTATTTCTTATTATTAATATTTCTATTATAACTCCCTTTCTCCTTTTATTTCTAAATTCCGGCCATTATGATATCCGTTGTTTATACATGACTTACTGATGTTCGTCTTTATTTCGTTACATAACTTTTGTTATTATTCTAACTGATAAAAGTCTCTTTAAATTCTATTACCCGCTACTGTATAATTTGTCCATTTTGTAATTACATGCGTGAACCTGCAAGTTACAAAATGCCTTTGAAAGTTATAATTGCCCTGTTCATTCGATTGCCTATATTTACTTCCGAAATAATTAATCGTCATTTTCATAGATATTTTGGCATTGGTTTTTACTGTTATAGGAGAATAAATATTTTACTATAGGGTTATAATGGGAAATTGGAGGGAAATGCTTCTTCACTTCATTAGTCTATTTCCTAAAACATAAGCTTGAGAACAAATTCATCATTGAAAGAATATTCGTTCCTAAATGAGAGTCCCAGAAGTCATCAGTGTACATAAAACTCACCATTTCAAACAAAATGACTTCCAAAATGAATCTCTAGGGTTCTTATTTGCAATATGTAACCTTTGAATGGATTCTAGCTGGAAGTGAGGACAGGTACCACTAATCGCAATGAAGCAGTATACTTAAACATATCAATTCACTGAAACTAGCAAAATGAACTAGGAACTGTATTGACCGATTATTATGTAAAGTACACGTATTTTCGTAATCATCTTAGTTAGAACATATGCTAGTTTTTCTGGAGAAAATTATTACGACAATTTATTAAATGTAAATATGATAGAATTACTTTAGGTGTTCTTTTAAATCCTTTTGTTGTAGCATCAATTTCAATAATAAAGTGCTTGCGTACAGATGAGCTTGGTCAATTTTATCAAGAAACACTGAATGCTCTTTATTATAAACAAGTTCTTCACACGTAGGAAGCTCATAACGATCGGCTAAGAAATAATAAGTTAAAATTTTGAGTAATCGACAACAAGTTATAACAAGAAAGAGAAAACAATTACACATTACAATTTTGGTTACAATATGCAGTTAACATAGTGGTTAATAGTAGTGAACTATCTGATGTCAAAAGAAATACACCCAATTCATCATATCCTCTGTGACAATACTGGAAAACAATTTTCGTATAAATACATGTCACGGAGGATCTGGTAACTCGGAAAGCAGTTCGTCATTCCTATTATCCTTTTTCAACTCATTTATTTGTTTAAATCATAAACCGATCAGTATTAGACCAACACTGAAAACCTGGAAGCAATAGACGGCCGTTTTGTTCAATATATTTATATTGATAATACTCTTTATGAACAATTTTAGCCTCCAGAATAGATTCTGTTGAAGCATTTCTCCATATAAGGGCAGTTTTATTCATCATATTATTGGATCATTCAGTAGCACATACTCCTTAACTGTAAACGAAACGTGATGTGTGACTTCCAAATCTACCACAAACAAAGTTATTGTTGAACCCTCAAATCAAGATTCAACAGAGAGCATTTTGACAATCAATTAACTAATTAAATGTCAGTTATGTGTGAACCAATATATGGCTGAAAATATTAACCTGTAGGTTATTTTTAAATCCATGAATAGCCAACGGTTAGGTGATTTGAAATAGCAGTAATTATTTTATTCAATTTTATATGTTTGATTAAAATAAAGAACTCTAAGCAAAAATGTGCAATATTGAAACAGGCATAAAAAAGTTTTACCCACAGTAATAAGGTGCTGTTTATTTTCCCCAATAATAGTCTACAACCAATTTACGTAGCATCTATGGAACTTATTTGATAATACATTTGATATATAAAATCTAATGTAACCGCCTTTTGTTTCTCTGAAAGAACAGGCAAAGAGGACGAAATATGGATTACTGTGATGATCCCTCGTGAATTTTGTAACAGTTAGCTTCGTAACAGGTTGTTAGCCTCTTGAAAAAGCGTGTGAATCACATTAGGCGATTGTCATATACAAATGAGTTGTTAAAACAAGAAAATTTATTTTAATATTTGTACAGTTGAAAAAAGGTCCATAGGACACTAACGTTTTTAAGATGATTTTTCGCTATACAGTGGTGTATTCGTAATTTATATAAGAGTAGAGAGACTGTAACTACACTGGTACTTAACTACAGTTGAAACAGTGTCACTCATTCACAATGTAAGCTTACAAAGTTAAATTGGCGATATACCATGTCTGTGTCTCTTGGAA